CAGGACCTGGACTCTCACACGACAGGCACGTGGCACTCAAGTTCCTGACGTTGCTGACCTCCTGTCCCACGTGAAAAATGTCATAGATAAGGTCGATGTCTTTCCCCGGTGCATGTAGTCATCAGCTCACTCCTCTCCCTGGGAAGTGGGTTCGGCTATTTTGGGGATTTCCCAATGCCTGGTAGCCTGTGGTCGTGTTGCTGCTGTGCTGCTGTTATGGGACAGACACGCAGGCCACCGTATGATGTCTGGCCCCAGGGACTCCAGGGAAGATGGCAGAGAAGACTGCGTGGGCCGCACAGATGTTGGGCATGGAGTGTTCAGATGCAGATGTGAACAAAACCTACTCCATCTGTGTCCTGATTTCATTTCATTTTTTAAGTTTCGTGCTGTGACCTTAGACCAACCTCAAGCATAGCAAGGCAAGCAGAGCAAAGCCTTCCCGTTGATTACGTGTTTCTTAAAATGTAGCCATGAGTGTTAGCAACAGCCAGAATGGCAGGACAGCCGAGATAAGCATGACGCTGGTGACAGCATCGACTCTAAGCAGTCGTCCGTCACCAGGCCCCCGGTGCCGCTGCATTCTTCGCCGCTTCATCCTGTCAGTCGTCAGTACCTGAGTCATGCTACAGAAAAGGTGCAGTAATGGGTTTGGTAGCGGATAACCCACAGATCTGCTGGTCGTCTGTTCCGTTCCAACCCAGTCTTCCTATAAGTAAATCACCCCGCAGTAAATTCTACCACGTGCCATGGAGGCGCCCGCTCTGCCTCCTCGGGACAGTGGCCGTTACAGCTCTGCCCACCCTTCGGACAGCGAGCCCTCTGCCTCACTCTGCAGGGCGCCGACGGGGGGCATGCGCACCTCCTGGGACCGCCCCGCCGTCCTGGTGGCAAACGCGGCCGATAGCAGAGGGGCTCCTCACCTAGTCCTATCACTCAGCGCCCTGCATCCGGGGCTGGCATCTGGCAATGGGCGTCAGAAACCGAGCCTTGGGCTCCTGCTCGGGTTCTGCCAATAGCCCCTGTGAGGACAGCGGCCACGAGTTATGGTAAAGCGGTGACAGGAAAGCGGCTGGCAGGCTCCCTGGGGACCACGTCAGCAGCTCTGGGGCCTGGGGTCAGGCCCAGCTGCCCTCACTGACCCACAGCATGCAGTACGGAGTGGAAGGGCGCTGTCCTGAGCCCCGAGTCCGTGTGCGGGGTGAGCTAGGGGAAGTCACATTCTCAGGAGCCAGTCCCCACTCCAATTCAGAAATCACCGTTATGGCCAGGACCAGGGCAAGAGTGCCAGCCTGTGCCGATGGCGGGGGAGGGGCCTTGAGCACAGTGATCACGGGCCGGGGGGTGGGGTGTTGCTCTCATTTCAAAGATGGGGAGACTGAGGCTCAGGTGTTTGGCTGTCCTCTCCACGGACGTGGTGGGGTGGCGGCTGGTGAGGACAAATAGGTCTGCAGGGGGCGAAGGCACTTACAGAAAATGTGCTGTCTTCACACACGAGGATCTCAACAGCTGGCGGCCACGGCGACCGCTGACCCTGCCTCCTCCGCACCCAGCTTCCACTCTGCCAGGTGGGTGGGCAGGGGTGACTTTTCCGAGAAAAGCGAAACCACTTGTTGAACCTGAATGACATGTGACCTCCATGAGCTCTGGCCCACGTCTCGTAACATCTAGAGTTTAGAGTCTTAACGTTCTGGGGTGACGGGATCTCATTTGAGGACTGATGGCCCCGCCTTGGAAAAGTGGACATTGTCACCTAAGCCCAGGACTCTCCTAGCTACCCCCGGGGCTGGGGTACCCCAACATGAAGACTCCCTGATACTGAGGGGCTGATTTCTCTCGACCAGCCTTGCCCAGGCTCCCAACCCAGGACCCATGCTGGGCGCAAGCTACCTCACACACTCCCTGTCCTCTGCTCGTCCTGGAGGGCGCTTTGGAGGGCTGGGGAGGGGCAGGGCCGGGTGGGGTCCAGGCCCAGGGTCTGGTTCCACAAGGACAGAGAATGGTGGTCCCGGGGTGGAGCTCACACTCCCCTACCACAAAGTTACACTTCTGCTATGGACGGACACAGCCCCTGGCTCAGAAAGTTAAGGCCGTTAAAGCAACACAGAATTTTGTCACATCCGGTAGAGCCCGGCCTCCCCACCCCCTCCCCTCCCCTGGGAGGGCCGGGCTTGGACATAGTGTCCCTGATTACTGTTACGTCCCCCGCATGAGGACAGAAAGGTACCTTCGCACAGAAACACGTGTGAAGGCGGTGTGTCTGAGGACAGTGGCTGCGGTCGTGGGCTTGACTGAGGGAAACCAAACTTTTGGACTTAAATTTTGTTCCCACGGGCCTAGAGGAATAAACGTCAAACGTCCTGGCCATGAGACGACGTGACTAACGTGAAACACAGGTGTCCCCTCACACATCTGGGGCGCAGATCACTTACATGAGGTTCAAGGAAAGGCACAGGGACTATGACGTTAGGAATTAGGGTGGGGAAGCCTGGAGAGGGGTAGGGGAGCTGTGAGGGGAGCGTGCGTTTCTGGGGGGCTGGCCTTGTTCTTTCCCCATGACTCATAGATTTGTACACTTAGCACGTGTGCACTTTTCTATATGTATTAAATTTCAATTTCAACTGCAGAGTTACGAAGTAGATCGAGTTTTGTCAAAGCGAGAATGCATATGGGTCTGTGTACATTCCTATTTTTCAGCCGAAATCATTAACAAGGGATGGGGAGAAGACGATGGAGGACTGTTTTCTTCTTTTTAGTTTATAAGTCTCCAGTATGGTCAAAATTTTTTTTGCAACCTACATTACTTTTGTAACAAAAAGCCAACCCAAAAAATGAGTATGTACCTGATGATTAAAACACATTCAGGGAGCTTCTTTCCATTTACTAGATGGGTGGTTGCCCAATTCATGAATTGTTCAAAAAAGCCAATTAAGCTAAAAACAACAACAAAAACAACAAACAGTTAAAAAAATACCACACGTGCCCAGGGGACACGGTGGAGGAGGGGATTCTGAAGGCGCCAGGTGTGACAGCGATTTGCCTGGTGGGAGGAAGTCATTTGCTTCTCTACATTTCCCAATTTTCTTGTCATGAGAATGCTTAACTTTTATAATGGAAAACAGCCAATAAAAAAGTACAGCCATTGTAACATTAAATTAAACCAAATGATTTGTGCTGAGTGCCCGGCACAGTGTACTAGCCTGTGAGCCCCTGGGCGGGACAAGAGGGGTCACAAGAGTTGAATGACAGCAGTGATTACTGGGGGTGGATTTTCTCCCCTTCGTAATAAGAAACTCAGCTCTTTAAGACAGATTTGCCCAGATGTGATGCTGGTGGGCCACAGTGGCCAAAAAAGAAAAAAAAAGCCACAAATGGGTTTTTCTCTTCCAGGTGCCATGTAAGGGGGTACCCAGGGGCATCAGCCCAGTGGAAGGAGAAGCTCCTGTACCCGAATTACTGCAGGGGTGTCTGTCATAGCTCAGGAGATCAGAGGAAGCGGGACATCAGGGCACAGTGCTCCCCAGCCTGCTGGGGATGGACCGAAGGGCCTGCGGGGAGCCTGCAGGGAGCCTGCGGGGAGCCTGCAGAAGGCCTGGCTGGGCTGGGCCAAGTCACAGCACAGAGGGGCCTCTGCAAAGCGGGGCTGAGGAAGTGAGTCAGAGGCACTTCTTGGCTGGACGCAGCTTCGAGAGACATTTACGACACGTGACCACAAGACAAACACAATGTAACGTGGACACTGCCAGGCTGTCTTGGGCTGCTCCAGCCTGTGGGCAGGCTTTAAGGGGCAGCCAGCCGGGCAGAGTGTGGGCAGTCGTGTGGACAGGCTCCAGCAGCCCTCGCTCTCGGCTGGCCCTTAAGAAACTCAGGGCCACTGCACGGCCAGAAAGCCCACCTCCTCCCCAAATTTGCCTGCAGTGGGATGGCAGGAAGTCCGTGCTCTCCAGAACTGGCATTTTATCCAGCGTGAGTGACAGCGCTGAGCGCCAGGCACCAGTAGGGCCTTAGGAATCTCGCCTGGCCCCTCACTGTGCAGATGAGAACGTCTAGACCCACAAATAAAGGGAGTGGCCCACGGTTACTCTGCTGCGGGGCCTGGACCTCTGCCAGGCCCAGAGCAAGGCCCTCCCCCATCCCCCTGTGCTGGCGACAGCCCCGGCCCCAGGCTCACAAGTCTTTTCCTTGGCCAAGGAACACCGGGACCCTGAAAGGATGAGGAGACAGGAAGGCCACCTCAAACCCAGCTGGCGATGACATCCGGCCTTCGCTCTGCCCTTGCCCCAGTGGGAAGAGGTGTTAAGGTCAGTGCTGACAGTGACAGCAGACGGATCTGGCCTCGCGCCCTGCTGCTTACGGCGGCCCTCGCTCCTGGGTGAAGCTGGCCAGCAAGCGTCCCGACTTGGCCAGTCTAAGGACGTAAAACCTCAAAATGGGAAAATCTGAAGTGGGAATTCCCAGCGGAGAACATGGACTTCCTTGGTTCCGTCCTGAGGCTCTTGAGAACCTGGGTCTCGACAGGGTATGAGGTGCGGGGCTGATGGGGGAGGAGCCGAGAACCTGCCCGCAAAGCCCTGGCGAGTGCACCTGCCCCCAGGGGACGGCTGCTCAGGTTTGCATCAGTGCTGACCGCTGCTTTGCGAACATCACGGTCACGGGAGACTCCGACAAGCTTGGACTTTTCTGCATTTTCTCTCAGAACTTTTCTGAAGGAGTTTTGCTCTGGGCAAGGGGAAACCGCCCCGTGAGCTCAGCTGGCTGAGCCCCAGGACAGACCTTGAAGTTCAGTCCCCCGGGAGATGTAGGGACAGACTTGGAGGAGAGGCCCCCTGGGTGTCAAGGAGAACCTCATTCTACTTTATTCTAGAACCTGTGGGAAGCCCCTGAAGGTGCTCCTGAGGGGGTCACTGGAAAGGGGCTTCCGGCCACCCAGAAGCCACAGGCCTCTCCGATGCCTGAGCCTCCACAAGAGCCTCAGAATAAAACTGTGGCAAGAGACTCACCTTGACTGTGTCAAACGGGTGTCCCACCAGCACGCCTGCCACACCTGGAGGAAGAAAGGAGGGCTTGTGACCCAAATGCCTCAGAAACCTGCTGTGTGTCTGGCTCCTCCCATGAGCCCCTTATTCCTCATGGCGGGGGAGGGGGTGCGGGGCTGGGGAGCATGTGAGAGTGACAAGCCAGGATCTGTCCAACTCAGAGCCGGCGTCTCTTCCTTTGCCCTGCTGCTCACTGCAGTTGACAACATAAGCTGTCCTCTGGGAGGCTGTGTGCGCTATTTCTTAGATGGTCCCATTTTTAAGATGGCTAAACCGTGCCAGCACGGGCAGGGGCCCCGGAAGTTTTGGACTTGGGACCAGACCCTCATCCAGAATTGAATTTTCCCTCTGTCACTTACCAGCTGGCTGAGCTCACAAAGGACTCCATGTCTGAGCCTCATCTCCTCACCTGTCCAGGTGTGAGCATCGACCTCCCCTCCCCACCGACAGGAGCCCCGGGAAGCGCTGGCTCAGGACCTGGTGCATGGCAGGTGCTGGCTGACCACCCCTCCTGGAACGGAAGCTGCCTGGTACCCAGGGGCAGCGTGTGACTCTGCAGTCCAGGCCTCGCCAAAATCCAGTCCCCCCTCCAAGGACAAAAGCTCACAACGCTTGTCAGAGTCCCCCACGCTGTGCGGGCTGTAGACACCCCTGTGAACTGGGCAGCCTGTTACCCGACTTCGCGGAGGAGCAGCTGAGGCTCAGCGAGGTGAGCAGCTGCCCAGCCGACACCCACGCTCTCCTGCCTAGAATCCCAGTGTGTTCTCCTAGAGTTCTGTTATTGCCAGGAGCGTTTACGGATAATTAAAACTGCTAGCGTTTGTTGAGTAACAAACAGTAATGTTTCTGCATGGGCGTTACTGTTGTTAATTTTGTACCTGTACTACCTCTCCCTCTTAATACCTGTAAAGAAAGGACTATTAGCCCATCTGATAGATGAAGAAACTGAGGCACAGAGAAGTAACATGTCCACGCCTCACAGCTCGTGAGTGGTAGACTCGAAGTCCATCACGCACAGGGAAATACCCTCTGAATTCCAGCTCATCTGCAGAATCTATTTCTTTAAGGGGACAGTTCTGTGTCTGCTGAGGCTGCCCAGGCCATGACGTGTGGCAGTGTCCCAGGAGTCCTCTGGCTTCCAGTGCTGCAGACCAGGAGTCTGTTGCCAGTGTTTCCTCTCCTGTGTCAATAACTGATTTACCCTGTTGGGAAGCCTCTTTTATCTGTAGATTTCAGGAATGTCACCTGAGAGGCTAAAGGTGTGTCTTTTTTCTTCTAAACAACCCTGCCTGGAACTGCACCAGCTCTGTCTTTCTGCAGACTCACCTGTTTCCGATCGGAGAACATTCCTTTATTATTTATTCATCATCACCTCTAGGCCTTCTTCTCCTTCTGGAACCCCTAACACTCAGGTGGATAAGACACTCACCTCCCTCAAAACGTCCACATTTCTGTTTTTGGTCCTGAGACACTTTGTTTCTATCCTTTGAGATCTACCTTTTTTTTCCTTTCATTTTATGTTTTGAATTTTCTCATTTTGAAAACCTGGTTCTAGAATCTCTTTTCTTGGGCTCTAACGCGTTTCCTTGGGGTTTGGAAACCTGACACTTGCCCACGGTGTGCTGCCTGGCCTTCCCGCTCCCTCCAGCCAAGACCCCTCTGGCCTTCCAAGCGCCTAGCGGCCAGGCCCAGCGGTGGGTGGAGTCCCCAAAAAGTACAAGGTGGAACCGTTGGCTGTTCCCTTCCCTTCCCGTGGGTGGATGATCCTGCCTCAGGCTCCAGGTGCAGGGGTGGGAGGGGCAGGCCATCACGCCCAGCCTCTAATGGGAGGCTCCAGGCGGGGACCCCCAGGACAGACATTTGCATTCCCTTTCTCCCTGGACTGGTTCTGCTGCCCTCAGGCAAGAGGCTAGGTCCTCTTCACACAGAACATCCACAGGTACAGAGTGGGCTGTGGGGCCCGCATCCATCAGGGCCTCCAGTCTCCCAAAGCTTCATCCTTTTAACCTCACGGTCATCTGAGAGCCAGCAAGCCCTGCCAAGCCATCTCCCTGAGAGGACACTGAGGCCCACAGTCACAGCAGCAGAAGTTGACCCGGTGTCCCAATTCTACAGCCACTGTCCACTGCCCTACATAAGCTGGACTCTCAGGGGCACCCCCTATTCCATGTCCCTCTAGGACGGGAGGCGGGGAGCCACTGTCCCGGAGGCACCTGGCAGCAGTGATGGTAGGAGTGGACACCAAGATGACCAACCTGTCACCACGCAGAGTCCCCCTGCCCACCATTCAACTTTTCTCTGTGCCTCTTCCTATCCATGTCCGCAGTAGGAAGACCCCCATCCAGAGCCTGGGGTCTAAGTGGGCAGAAGACCTGGGGCTGACCCCCTGTGAGAGAGTGCAGGTAGGCATCTCGATCTCTCCAACAAGTGAAGCGTCCCTATGCTGTCAATTGAGGTCCCACCTTGCTGCTCCAAGGGCAAGGTTGAACAGGTGACCCACGCTCAGCTGATCAAAGTGATGGGCTGTCCTCCTTCCACTTGGAAATCTGAATCTAGAGGGACCGCAGGTCAGCTAGGAGAAGCACCGCCAGCATCTGCCCTGAGCCTCCGGAGGCCAGGCCCCAAGGTGGGGGCATTGCCTGAGCAGGGCTCCTGGATAGCCCCTCTGTGCAGGCTGGGCTGGGACCTGGGACACTATCAGGTCACATTGTTCTGTGGGCTAAAGGGGAGAGGACAGCCCCTGCCTGCCCTGTCAGAGGGACATGTAATTTGTACTAGCTCCTTCACTTCTCAGGGCCTAGGTGTCTTCTGGGTCAAATAAGACCAGGAGAGGGTCCCTAGGAGCAGAGGCTGATGACCCTCTGCCTCCTCCCAGGCACCAGAACCCTGGTTAAAGCCACTTCCAACCTCAGTCACCTGGGAAGCTCAGGCCTCAGCTCACGCAGCGAGGAAGCTGGTGGGCACCACCTGCCCGGGCTTGCACGTGGACCCCGGTGGGACGGTGAGGGCAGCCAGTGAAGCACCTATCCTGGGGCCTGGACGGGATCTCTTCCAGGTGAGTCTGGTAAGGGTGGACGGAAAGGCATTCCAGGAAGGGGCCCTGCCTGACAAGAGCCCAGAGTGACTGAACGTGTGTCTAAGCAGGCCTGGGCCTAGGATGAGGTTCCGACTGCAAACCCCAAGCTCCCAGGACACCTGTAGGAAAACAAGGAATCCTGCCCTCTGGGGAGAGAACCCACATTCCCCAAGAAGTTGGAAAGGGGATAGCCCCCACCCACCCAAGCCACTACCTGGGGGTGCATAGAGGAGAGTTGGGGCCCAGGATGGGCCAGCAGAGGGCAATGGTAAGCAGAAAGGGGGATCGGAGAGGGTGGAGGGAGCTGAGAGCTGGATGGACAGAGGCCCCCCTGCTCCGGTCTCCTCTAGCGCCTGAGCTGGGGAGAAATTCTCCACGCATCTGCCGACAGCTCCAGGGTTTCTCTCCCTGCCGTAGGCTCCAGTCCCTGCTTTCCTGAGGCCCGACTGAGTAGCAGCCTGGGAAGTTCTTAAACCCCTCACACACATCAGTTCCCTGGCACACTTCCTCCTCCACCAGCCTCCACTGCCCAGAGCAGAAGCTCACACCCACAGGTTTAAATGCTTAAGGCCACTGATAATCACTCCTCTTCCTCCAGGCATCCATGGACGGCAGGTGCCAAAAGAGAGAAGAGCCTGTGGTCTGGGCTACACCGGGCCTGCCACACCCAGCAAGCCTCTCTCAGCCAAGGAGGCAGGCCTGCCACATCTGTCAACTCATGGCCAAATCCCTGATCCGGAAACCTGGCTCCCAGTTAATACCTGTTGAATAAATTAACTCTCCAAGTAAAAGCAGTGAAACTAAAGGCCGAACAGGAAGGTGCTGGTGCCAGGTGCCCCACGCCCACCACCCACGATCGGCCATAGCAGCGCCGGGGCTGTACACTGACTCCGGCTCTCCTTGGACACACTCTTGGACACACGCGCCAAGGCCTGGCTTCGGTGAAGGTGCCCCACGCCCATGACACGTCCGCGTGAGCCCAATGACTAGCCCATACAGCGCGTCAGGCCCACTCTGCCACCCAAGTGGAGTCTGCCCCCCAGCAGCTCACTGGACGGTGAAGGAAGTGGGGGTGGCGTGCCAAAGCGTAACCCGGCGCCTGGGGTCCGGTGGGCGCCTTTCAGTGGCCCCCAGGCCAGCCCGCTAGTGGGTTGTGCTGTGGCTCCAGCCCCGCCCAAATAGATGGTTGCGGGGGTGGGGCGGGGAAAGAGGCGGGGGGAAGCCAGTCTCAAACTTCTCGAGCCCAGGGAGCGGACCCTGTTGGGATGGGGGTGGGGGAGGGGGTAGAGCAGAGGCTCCGGGGACCTCGGGGGAGGAGAGCGACAGGGGCGACGGGGCACCCTCCTGACAGTACCCCGTCAAGCCACGGTGCTGCCCGGGGCCCCAGACCTTTTGAATGAGCCCCGAAGGACTTAAAAGAGAGTTGCTTTCACGAACAATGCGCTAGGCGCCCTCAGGCCTGATGTCGACTCACGCCCACGAGAACTCCGTGAGACGAGAGCTTTGTTACCCCATTTTATAGACAAGGAGACACTAGCCAGAGGGCAAGCCGCTGGGCGGAGCCGACCTCCCAACCCGGACGCATGGCTCCGGCCCCCGAGATTCGGGCTCCCGACGTCCTCGGCCCTCTCCGCGCGCCCCGCCCCGCTCCTTACCCCCAGCGCATCCAGCCAGGAAGTCGAGAGCCATTGCGAGGTCCCCTGCGAGGCCGCCCTTCCTCCAAGTCCTCCTCCGGGCCCTCCGAGCCGGGCTGGTCGCCGTCGAGCCACCCCCCACCCCCGCTCGCTGAGCTGGGATTCGGCCTGGCCGACGCCTCCTGGCGCGGGGCGCCGGGCAGACCGGGACTGGGGGGCGGCGGCGGCGGCGGCTCAGTGCGCGACTCCTCGCCGGGCGAACATTCCTCGCTGGCCGGCTCTC